TTTTTTATTAATTAGTTTTACATGTTTTTATTGTTTTAAGCACTACTTTGTAAATTCTTTTACATACTTTTTACATATTTTTACTTCATTAATAATTTTTCATACATTCTTACCTCTTTGTAGCTATATATATCTATGCAAATTTTACTTCTTACATCTTGTTTGATAATGACCGAAGAGCGGTCGAAACATCGCAAAATTTTACCGTTTATTTTTATTGTCAAATGTTTTAAAAAACCCTTACTGATAATAAAATATAGTACAATTTAGAATTTGAGTTCTTTGTGATCCTTATCTTGCAATAAATGTTAATTTTATGCTTACAGTACATGAAGATAACAAAATCAGTATTAAATCTTTAAATGTAGAGACATTACTACTAGTGCTCATTTATTAATAATAGGGAAATAACCCTTTTTCAAATATTTCTAGACAAAGATGACATCGAGCTTGCCACAAAAGTAATGCAGTTTGCATTGCTGACTGATCATGGCTTTAGGTTTGCATTAGCACATTTTCTAGTGAGCAGCCTTACTCTCCCGCTACCCTTCTTGAGAAGTTTTGGGAGGGAGTGGAATGGGTCCAGATGGGGGGCCAGGAGGGGTCCAGAGGGGTCCAGATGGGGTCCAGAGGGGGTCCAGATGGGGTCCAGATGGGGTCCAAAAGGGGGTCCAAAAGGGGGTCCAGATTGAGGGGTCCATGTGTTGTACCAAACCCGTTTGAAATCCAAGAAGAGCCATGACTGCTGTAAGTGTTATAGCATACAGATTTCTTTCAAAGCCCACCACAAAACATTCCACCATTTTTGACGATATTAAGCGGAACAATTTGTATCATCATACATGACGTATCTACCAAATTAAACAAGATAACCGCTGACTTTTCAACATCTAAGTTGAAGATGGTGAAGTGGTCGGCAGAGTGTTTTGTGATGGATTGCATGGAAAGCAATCTGTATGTTAAAACAGCAGTGATCGCTCTCCCTGGATTTTAAACAGCCTTTTGAGTAGCTGTTTCAACAAACATTGATATCTCTGATGATGAAAGAGGGATGGCAATGGATGTTCTCTTTAAACCTCGAGTCAAAGCAACTGTGAACAGATGACACAAAACTGGACATTTTGCAATCCAAGAATCAACAAAAGCACAAAATTGCGTGTATGTAGTAATTATTTCTTGTTCCCATTCTATTTTATCCTTGAAAACATAAGTTGAGGGAACTAATGCATTGAATCTTCTTCTGCCGCATTTTTTTCAATATCGTGAGATGTAGCTCTGATAATATATGAAAAAAATATCTCAAGTCCTTACCGCTGAATTTATACCGCAAATTGATAGGAAAATACCTAGGTAGATATTTCTTGTTGATTTTGAGTTAGGTTAAGACAGAAAAATGGCTTTTGTGTTTTAGTGGATGTTAATGAAATGGCCAAAAATCGTGAAGTCCTATCTAAACAGTACCCCAGCACAGAAAAAAATATTGAAGTCCCCTAACATTTTATAGCTTTTTTGAGAACTTTAGTGATTGCTCTCACTATCCATGTTATAATAATGTGTATTTGCTGTTGCCCAGTGCAGATATTTGCCATCAATTTAAGGCTATTCACAACACAACAAAATATGCACCTTACTTAAGTTGGAGCAATGGACAGAAATCAAATTGTCTAGTTCAAATGAATATCTGTGCTTAGAGACTGATAATAGGAGATGACCCAGTGGATTTCATTTTCACATGCCCCTTCTTGTAGTAGAAATACTAAATCAGACAGCTAAGTAAATATACATACATTAGTGACAAATGGCCATTTTTTTGGGGAGGGGGGGGGTTCCCCTAACTTAAAGGGAATAAAATATTTTGACCTAATTACTTACTCACCAAACCCAACATTTGTGCCAAGTTTGAGCAAAATCAGTTATTTGAGCTGTATCTCCTGCCTGGTTCTGCCTGTTTTTTTCATGGACACACTCTTAAATTTTCCATTGTATTCAAGCCAGCACTTAAACCATTGCAATATGAAATATTAGACCAAAGCTGTTGCAAATTTTACATGGGATCTTAGTTTAAAATCCCCTCAAGGTTGACCTGTAAGATTTTCTGTATTGGCACTGAAGTTAGAGGAGCACCTGCAGGGGCCCAACGATTCAGAATTTAAGGCATGTTGTCTCGATTAGCGATCTCTCGCATTGTCATAACACTTTGAAAAGTGTTACTTTGAATTCTCATTTCTTTTCTGGTTAGTAAAGAGTGGGCACAGCACAAGGTAAAGCCTCTTGATCTGTGGAAGACAGCACACATTTTCCAGGGTAAGGGGTGTAAAAAATAGATCCACCTCCACTCATACTTCCACAACCCATACTGTCACTGGAGGTGGAGTCAACAGTTATCATAACAATTCTTCCAGGGTAATGGCTCAGCCACCAACCAGTCCAACCTTGACACACACTAATGATACAGGTACAGGTAGATCAGGGGTTGGCTCTGGTAGGCATAGTGTGACGGATAAGAAGCCTTGCATTACGCATGTATCAAGTTAATTATTAGTAAGCTCTATAGTATTTTCTAAGTGAAACCCGATCGCTGTATTCATTCATCAGCAGACACCATTACAACCAAGGCCGATTCTGTTACCACGAGGTCAGGGATTGTGTCAGGTTGGTTTAACAGAGTAGGATCCCCACCCCTTTAATCATGGACACGCACTGTTACAACCAATGCTGTTACTGTTACCACAGGGTCAGGAATTTTGTCGGGTAGGCATAACAAAGTAGGTTCTCCACCCTGAAATACATCAACACGCACTGTTACAACCAATGCTGATACTGTTACCATGGGGTCAGGGATTGTGTCAGGCAGGTGTAATAGAGTAGGATCTCCACCCCGTAAAACTTGGACACACACTGTTACAATCAATACCGATATTGCTACCAAGGGGTCAGGGATTATGCCGGGTAGGTGTAATGGAGTAGGATCTCCACCCCAAAATACATCGACATGCACTGTTACAACCAATGTTGATACTGTTACCACGGGGTCAGGGACTGTATCGGGTAAGCATAACGGAGTACATGTAGGATCTTCTCCCAGTATTCCTACATCAGATGACTTCAATGCAACCAATGTGGATACTGTTACCACGGGGTCAGGGATTGTATCTGGTAAGCATAACAGAGTACATGTAGGATCTTCTCCCAGTATTCGTACATCAGATGACTTCATTACAACCAATGTGGATACTGTTACCACGGGGTCAGGGATTGTATCTGGTAAGCTTAAAAGAGTACATGTAGGATCTCCTCCCAGTATTCCTGCATCAGCCAATACTGTTACAACCAATGCTAATACTCCAACTGGTCTCAAAACCAGTCTGACCAGTTTGACAGTGCTCCCTGATTGGTTCTCAGCCAAGTCTTTGTTTTTTCTCTATATAAGTGCGACATCACCCGGATGGTTGGGCGGTGAGTTAACTCCACTACAACAGACACATCCCTTCCAAAAACTCATTTATTACTCAATAATACAAGTCATAAAACAATAACACATGCATGTATAATTTATTTTTTCTCCACACTCCCCTACATTTACCTACACAACCTGCATCTCATCAAGCCAGTTCTGCCATCCTTATCTCATGAACTTAAGGCAAATGAAGTCTTGAATAAATTGGTCTATCCATCTGAGGTATACTACTAGAAAGGTCTTAAGTAATAAGACCTAGCTATTTCTATTGCTCAGGCTATTAAACAGGACCATTTTATAACACTCACCATATTGGATGAAGATGTGCATGCAATACTAATATATTGAATTTTCTTTTTTTTTTAAATGTACAGCTTGGAAGTGTGGTGTGAACCTGTGATATGCAGCATGACCATACCATGTGCAAGGTTTGTCTTAAGACAGCTCTGTCTGCAACATTCCCAATCTGCCTGCAGATCAGGGGATATTTGGAAAATTTGGGAAGGACCACACCTGTACACAATCTTGTGTTAGTCTCTAATCATGGGTTTCCACATAATATGCCCTAATGAATCCAAGTGCAGGTAGACTGGAAGGCTGGGAACTTTACAAAGCCACAGGAATGAATGTGAAATAGGGTGCCACCAAGATCAGTACCCACACAAGAATGAATCTTGTGTTCATTGTCAAAAGAGAGAAAAAGCAGCAGAGATGGCAGTGCATCAGCATAAGCTGTCCAAACAACTGTGAAGAGAACATTTTAAGGTATTTTTACCCTAGAGTTTTTGAAAGGAATAAATCAATTAGTGCAAAAATCAGTAAACAGTGAACTTTGGAAGTATTTATTAATGTTACTGTGTCAGAGGAAGAAGCCACTACTAAAGCAGGCAGCATTTAGACTCATACCTCAATATATTAAAGAAGTGATGTAAAACTTGTTTCTATTGTAGGAATTTTCAATATAAATGAGCCTCAGTCATCCAGATATAAAACATTCAAATAACAAGTAAAACAAATGTATGAAAAATTTGGTTGCACTCTGATGCAAACTACAACAAGCTCTTGTTCCTTGATAGCTTCCCAAAATAGCAGGAAGCATAACAATCTCTCACATCTCCTTTGCAAGCAACCAAATATCACTTTTCATGACCATATCATTTCTGCTTCCTTTCTACAGTAATATATTTCATTATACACATGTAGTTCTACATTTCCCATTATGCAAATATATTTCTGGCCAAGAAGAGCTTTGAAAGCAACCCATGTTATTACAATGCCTTTGTTGTGCAACATGACAGATGGTAAAGATCTACACCCAATTTTGTAAGTTTTGTGTTCCAACAAGGGATATCTACATACTGTAAAGTTTATATTTTCTTTCACAACTACATCATTTCTGTTGCCCACAAATAATGAACAAAGTGTACTTTATTTTGCTTATTTAACCTCTATTTCTGTTGTTTAGCAATGGCCTCCAGTCAAGCCACACAAAATATACAGTGGTAGGAAAGAAAGAGCAATGGTAGAGCTTATGATAGCAGCAAGGATAGTGTTTTGGTACAGTTTCACAAAGACGGTTGGAGTATTTCACATAAAATCTTTTAAGAGAGCAAGATGATCCCTTTCTAGCATACATCAACATCACAACGTTTGGTTCAGGTTTTGAAGAAATTCAATGAATTTGGCCAGTTTTGATAAAAAAAAAATTCCATGTTGGACCAATATTTTCAAAGAATTTGGCCATCATGCATTGACGAAATGAAGCAAATTTAGCTACAAAAACAATTTAGAGACATACTTGGTAAAATTTCTCTTCAACTGATTTGCTAGCCAATTTCCAGTGGAAGTTTATTTTATTAATATAAATGTGTCATTCTTGTGATTTCAGAGAATTGAGTTCATTACAAGCCAGAGAACAAATTATCAAGATCTCTTTGCCGAGCTGTGTTGTCCCTTGCCTTGCCATGTGTTGCCCATTTGCTGCTGGGGCAGTATGGTGTGTAAAGCTACCAAGAGATGTCAAAGATATATGCCCGTTGTACAACAACACAGTGGAGGGGTGTATGCCAGAAATTGACTGGGATGCAGTCATACAACACTTCAAAGCATCATTAATGACTGAATTTTCACTACTTTCAAGGATTTTAGTTTTTCCTATTTTGTTTCCATTATGTTCACTGACTGAATTTTTCTTCCCCTGCTGTGATGTCTTTTTTTCTGTTTATGCTGCCTGCCACCATGTTTATTTACTGCACCATCAAGAATGGTCCACCTTTTTTAAATGCACCAAAATGCCTGCACATCCACAAGTATCTTTATTTCCACCGTCGCCAACATCACATCTTTCTGGCCTATCTCCATCATTTCCCCCCCATTTGCTTCTTCACCCTCGCTTATCTCTTTATCTCTATTTCAGCCACCTGCTACCTTTTTTATTTTATATTGCCTCTATCTTTTTTTCATACTTAAACTTGTTTTAAAAGGCTTTTTGGCAGGCAGTTTTCTGCTGATGACACCATAAGATTTACTACAAACTCTGTATTGTTTCCATCACTACCAGAAGAACTCTCCTCACAGTCACCACAGCATGAACTGCAGAAACCACCATCACAATCATGTGATGTCACTCACTCACCACCAGAAGAACTCTCCTCGCCACCACTACATCATGAACAGCTGGGATCACCATTGCAATCACATGTTGTCACTAACTCACCACCAGAGGAACTCTCCTCACCACCACTACATCATGAACAGCCAAAGTGACAATCACGCAATGTCACTCAACCTCGACTCCACCACCACTGCCACCAGAGAAGAGTTATTCACTTCTTTACAAAAACATAAAGAACACTACACTCTATGCCATTGCTGAGATTTGTTAACAACCACGTCACTTTTATTTTTGATGCATTTCTGCCATGAACACAATTCAAGTTGATGGTTTATATTTAAGTTACATTGCACTACGAGATTCATGCGATTCTGAAATTCGCAGCAGGGTATGGGTTCTAATTTCCGGTGAGTTCTGTTTATGAGATTAAAAAATCTATCATCATGTGTACTTTGCGGTAATTTAGTCGTCACGCATCTCACGACCAGAGTTAGAGAAGAAGACCAGACAATTTTGACATTGTAGAAGATGCTCGTGCAGTGCAGATGGTTAATTATTATTATGGCAGCGAAAATAACATTCGACATTGCATGAAATTCAAAGAAGGTTGAGAGCCGGAGAGAATGGCGGCATGTGAACCAGGTCCGTATTCTCTTTGTCTCAAACAAGTGTTTGGACCTTCGCTCACTAATACTACAAGCTGGTATACTGTTTCGAGTGAATGGTCATACAGACCGAATCATAGTACTATATCAAGCACAGTGACCCCGTTTATCGGTGATATTGTCGAAGTATCCATCCACGACCTAGTCAATAACAATGGCACCAAGGTCCATCCATTGTGGTTTGGCTCAGGAAGGAAGAAAGATACAGTGGTCGTTTCCACTCCTTTTGGCATTCTTGCTAAGGCAGTACGAGGGAAAAACCCACAAGACAATAAAGTAATCGGTTCATTGGAATTCAAAATTATCAAAGATTTGATCAATTCCACTCCAATCGATGAAATGGCAGGAAGAAGTGAGATTCCCGCCATCTTGCCCGAAACGCCACCAACTTCACCAGAAGATACACTTCCCAAAGTGATAAAGCCATGCAACATTGAATCGAGTCTGGCTATGAAGCAACTGTTCGAAGTCTTAAAAGAGTTTGAAATGTGCCAAATGGGTCCTTGGCTGAAAATGAAGCGAGCGGGATTAGTTGCAAATGAATGTTTAGCCGTGTTACAGCAAGAACTGACTTCTTGTGTGCCTGATCTTGGGAAGGTCTTTGGTTATGGGTTGCTACACTGCACCAAGGATAACCAAAATTTTGTACGTGAGGTGATATCGACTGCTTTGGAAACAGTTGCCAAGAAACAGGGAATTAAAAAGGCATTTGGTACAATTTTATGTGAAGATATAGATACGAGGTATTTGGAATCGCTACAAGTTCCCCACTGGCTTCAGTTGTACGTGAAGTTGGCCACGAAACTTCCAAATCGATTGGGGCAAATGCTTCTGAATTTTCTCAATATTGGTCGTAGCAGGGTAAGTTTTATTTTTACAAGCTTTTTTTTATTTGTTGACAGTCCAGAAATCTTTTGTCTGTGCACTCAGGGAAGACTTGGAGGGAAGTGGGGTGGAGAAATATAAAAGGGTAGGAATTTGCAATGGGTATCACTTTGATCCTTTCATTTGCCCAAATCCCAGGTGAAAGTTACTTTTTATTCTTTAAGGATTCTGTAAAGCGATTTTCTGCATGATATTACGATGCAAATCACAAAAAAAAATAACTCAAAGCAATGTTAATGCCTTCAGTGTTTACTGCACATTGTTGAATCATTTACTTTATGCAGAATTTTTCCTCTATGCCAATATGGTATTGGCTTAAAAAGTTGTGCCATATTTTGTTTAATATTTTTGGCAAGTGGAATGTGTGACTGTAGTTGTGCACCTAAATAGATAACTCAAAGTTGTTCATTTTTCTCTACTTTTAAAAAGAAATCTACTGATGTGGGACTCCTGCTAACCACTAATCAGATTAGAGCCCAGAAAGATCTTGCCTTTTCGGTGACAAGAAATGTTTCAAACTGGAGCCACTTGCTGCAGAACTGAGAGGTTATGGGATCAGCCTCAAGATGGCACTAATCTGGCAGATAAGGCAAACCCATTTGCATCAAGATATTTCGCGATCAGATGTGCTAGAGTTTAATCTGAAACTCGATGGACAACCTCTTTCAGGTGTTTCAAAGAATTTTGGTTAACTAGTTTGTTGCTGTCGAGCATTAGCAAGACAGCACACTATTCTTCTCTGTAGGACGAAAAATCCAAAATTTTCTCGGACATAAGACTCAAAGCCTGCACAGTTGAGTATTATCTGGAACAATTGAAATCACACGCACATCACATGGCTGTCATATCATCTGGGATCCACACGTGAGATCACTTTGCACGTGAGAAATCCTCGCATGCTGTCAGATGCTTTCGACTTTCGAATCTTTCGTATGCTGTCAGTTGTTTGACCAGACATATTCCACTTTCAAATCTTTCGTACGCTGTCAGTTGTTTGACGTTGCCATCATACAAGTAGATAAGTATTTTCTGAATGTTTTCATTTATTCAATTGCAGCTGTCTTTTGGCAGGAATGGGTGGATTGTGTTGAGGTTGACAAAACCTACATATTTAAGAATTTGAGAGTAAAGAAAAACAATTACACAGAGGAAATTTATGCCAATACAGCTAAGGAAGGCTTTCATTACCAAGAAACGGATGCCTTCTTAGAACTAGCAGAGACTGAACCAACAATGATGGAAATGACCACTAAAGATACCACAATATCCATCATTGGTATTAAAACTGTTTCATGCTACTACACCTGTAATGCCTGCGGAAAGACAACCAAACTGACAGGCAAATTACTAAAGTGTGGATCATGCAAACTTAAACAAAGGATCACTCCTGAGAGCAAACACTGGTTTGTGAGACTTTTTGTAAAAGACACAACCACCAACAACAAATTTTACCTGTCTGTCTCTCACCAGCAGCTGGTGAAACTGTTCAATGCTTCGCAACAAAAAATGCACGCTGCCCTCACAGAGGATGATCTAACTGACATTCTTCTCAAGATGGATGATTTAAACATTACTTTAAACCTAGCTGACAATAAATTGCTTCATGTAAATTAGATATGAGGACTATAACAACAGAAAACAGGTTCCTTCAATCTTAAAAAACTGTTTTCTTCCAATGTCCTATGATGATGTAGAAAACTTACTGTCAATAATGATTTTTATTTGCATTTTTTCATTTATCTAATTAAATTTAAAATTCATTACAAAGTTAACATCTAAAAAAAATCACCCACTGGATATTGGTTGATTATATTTCATACAGATGTAGGAAGAAATTTTAATCCTACTTACTACTGATTTACTAAGTATCTTTGCCAAAACCTTTTTGCCAAGAATTTATTGTTCAAAGTAGACATATTTTTATAGTTACAGTTATTGTTCACATTAAAAAGAAACTCTACTGGCTAATT